AAGTGTGGGGGAAAAAAAATGAGTTTACTCGTTTGTTGAAGTTTCTAGCCAAGATACTATTTGAGAAAACCAGACAACCCTTCTTGAATAAGAATGGTTCCTGAATTATACAAAAACATCCTAGAAGCAATTCAAACTTGGGAAGAAAATATTTCTGAGTTTTTAATTTAATTGCAGTCCCAACCTACTTTGTAAATAAATTCACACTGGGATTTCTTAATGTTTTATTTATTTATTTTTTTACATTTATTACTGACCACAGTGTTTGAGTGTGTTGAGTGGGTATTAGGTGGAGGGACTTCAAAATTCATATTCTAGTGAGTATTGGAGTTTCCTAGGTAGAGTAGGAAGTTATGTTTTGGTCATTTGTTATCAGCCAAAAGTCAGTCTCTTGGGTTTCCTTTGTAATATTAACTTTCACAGTAATTTAATGCTACCAACAAAACCATTTGAATATGAGGTCATCTCCTGAATGAAAGGGAAAATAATTTCTATGCCTCCTATTCCTCTCTTAAAATCACTTGAAGAAATGTATGAAGCACCCTAATTAGCGGTTACTTCTCCAAACACCCTCTGTGATCCAATTTTATCCTTGGTCATACTCCATGTAGCCAAGATAGGCAGCGATTACAGTAGCTTAATGGACTAAGTAATGAATGGTAATACTAGTTATAACAAACGTTCTTTTGTGCATCTAGTTTGTGATTGGGGGGATAGCAATTCTCAAATATGACATGAAAATGTTCATTTTCAGGAATGGATGTATGTAAATGAGAGTCCATAGTACTAGTAAATCTGAAAAGACAGTACTTTTAAAAATCATGACTAGCACTTTTGTCAAGTATTTTATACAAATAGCTGTAATACTTCCTTTAGAAATAAGACAGGTCGTGGTGGCGTAACAGGTTGGGACGCAGCACTACAGGCGAGTGGCAGCTCCTTCACTTCAGTGTGGATTTGATCCTTGGCTGGAGGGTGATCCACATGGTGCCGTGGAACTCTCCTGACCCATCCGCTGCTCCCCTCGGCAGTATACTTCATTGATCTTCCTGTTCTGCTCCCCATTCTGTCTCTGGTGAATCCTCTCACCGCCCCTGCATCTCTGGCCTACAACCCGGTTCTGTATGTATAAGTAAACAAAATCTTTTAAAAACATTTAAAAAAAAAAAAAAGACAGCAACAAAAATTGATATCTAAACTAGCTATCATTTAAATGTAACTGTAATGCATAGATTAGGTCAGGATTAAAGCTTATAGTAAATTAGTATTCCTTCATTCAAAAACGTTCTTTTCTTGGCTGTGGGCTAAATGCTATGATAAAGAATATGTTTGAATTCAGTTCCCTCGTACTTTTTTTTTTTTTAATCTTATAGGACAATAAGTGAAACAGTAATTTGAAGGGAGACCAAGCATAGCCATTGATCAAATCCTCCTCATTCCAACTCAGATAAGACTTTTCTCAATTTTTCTGATCAACTGAGCTCTCTCCTTTCAATGGATCTTCTCATTTGCTATTTCTTCTGCGTCCAATGACCTTTACTCTTCTTGATAAATTCTTTTCAATCTTCAGGTCTTCATTTAAAATTTGCCCTCTCACTCTCCAAACATCTTGCACTTTAGCATTAAAAAATAAATCACATAAGTTTGTCTACTCCATAAACCATAAGTCGCATGATATACAATTACTATGTCTATTCTTTCACACCTGCACTCTCAGTTCCTGGCTCTTTGTATGGGTCTAAGAAAGTATAATGGAAAAATAAATATCGGTAATCTGCATGGATGATTACATCTGGGAAATCATTTATGGAAGTGTCACAGCTAAAGTTAAAAAAAATCATATGCATCATAATATTTCTTTAGATGTTAACTATAAATATTTTTTGTTTATCTAGGAGTTAGTTTTGCATGTTAAAATTTTAAAAATAAAACTAACAGCTGAATATTGTCTTTTGGATTCAGTGGAAGAAGTAGTGTTCAAAAGAAGGCATTCTTCCATAATCTAATGAGAAAGAGCTTGCAGCAGCTGGTCAAGATAGAGAGTTGTAGCTGTTAGTGATAATAAATCCAGGCTGCAGGTTTGTGACATCACAGAGATTCAAGCAAACTTAGCATAATTTCCCAAATGTGTGCCACTAAACAAAGATATGAAGAAATAAGTATAACAAAAACAATATTTAATCATTGCATAAACACTGAAGGATTCAGATTTTCAGAAAATACTACAAATATCACAAACTCTCATGAATATCTACAAATACAAACTACATTTGAATGAATCTAGTGACTTAGCATACAAAATAAAGTCCACAAAATATTCTCTTAAAAATCATGATTTTAATGAACAAGAACCTTTGACCAAGCCTTTAAGTCAAGAACGTAAAGTGCAGAATAAATGTTAAGAATGACATAAGTAGGTCAGTAGAAATACTTATGGTTGCTTAAAATTGCATCTTTGGCAAAAGCAGATTTATTGCAGTTTCAGTTGCTTATTCCAGCACAATAGCAAACAAGTCTAGACCATTAGTTTCAGATTTGATTTTTTTAAGGTTTGTTAATTTGTGCATACAGATCTGGGGCACAGGCCAGAGGTACAGGGGGATGGTGAAAGGATTCACCAGAGACAGTGGGGAGCAGAACAGGCAGACTGAGGAATTACATTGCTGAGGGGAGCAGTGGGCAGGTCAGCAGAGGTCTGCCACGCCATGTGGGTCACCTCCGATGCAGTGTATCGAACTTGCACTGAAGTGGCTGCGGCTAGCTTGCAGTGCTGCAAGCTAGCACTGCATATCTATTTCAGTCCTAACAATACCTGATAATTTACTTGAGTTATCTTACTTAGAATGGCATTAGAATTTGCCTCTAATAGGGCACACACCTTCATCTCACTAAGGCCCCACAAGTAGTCTTTTAAAATAAGTTTCCACACGGACAAATGGATCATGTTTGCTTTTATTTCTGCAGTGTTTTTCTTCGGAGTTGAGAATTACAGAGTTATAGATAATCATTCACATTCTTCTTGGCATGATATATTTCTATAAGGAGGTAGAAACATTTCTAGCATTTTCCCTGACATATGCTCTATTAAGAGAATGTTTTATGATTGAAATTGGTGTCCTCCTTTCCTGAGACTTATCATTATGTGTGACCTTTGACTTTTAGACTACATAGCCCATACCGTGCCAAAGACACTTTAGGGCTAGAAAATGTTTATCCTGTCTTGCAAGTTAGCTCAGAGGGCCAGAGAACTGTTCTGATGAAGCCAAGTCACACACTCCAGCCCTGTAGAAGCCAGTTAATGCTAAACAAAGAAAAGATGTTTCCTAGCAAAAGTTTGCACTTTGAATCTCAGCCAACTCTTCACTGCAGCAAAACTCTTGATCCTAAGAGGAACCAGGAGAGAAAATATAGTTGGATCAATGCAAAGCCATCACCACTCTTGAAAAGAAAATCTGGATATAGCCATATCCTGTAACAGTGTGAACAGCTTAACCTTCTTAGTTGGAAGATGTTCTGCGATGTTCAGCTCGATGAAATTACTTTGGGGGAGGAGGTTTCTTAAATCCCCTTTTACATGTTGATTATTGGTGGGATGCTGATATTGACAACAGCCTGAATCTGAACTATGCATGAACCATGGAGTGACATGAACTTCAGAGAGAACATGTATTTCTTGGCTAAAGTCACAACAATGTATGGGTTGTCCAACTCAAGGAAATGAATTGTCGCAGGCTATAGATATTCTCTTTTCCTTCCTCTTAGTCTCCTTATCATTCATGGCAACACGTGGATACTCTTTAAACTTTAGTGAAATATATACCAGGCTTTTCATCTTACGTTTAAAAAAGAAAAAAAAATGGAACAAAATTACTAGTCTCAGCTTCAGTCCCAGAGAACAGAGATGTTGTGAAATGAATCTCAAAAATACCATGTTAAGTGGAAGAAGTCAGAGGATTTTGTTAATATTAAATATCTAAAATAGGAAAATCCATGCATATAAAAACAGATTCATGTTTTCCAGGTACTGAGAGGAAGGGAGAATGGAGTGACTCTGCTTAACGACAAGAAACTTTTGCTTCAAGTGACAAAAATATTTTAAAATTAGATAATGGAGGTTATTAGCATTTTGAATTTATCAAAGCCACTGAACTGTTGATTATAAAAGGTTCACTTTATGTTATATGTCTCAGTTTGCTAAGTAATTTTTATTTTTTTAAAAAATTTTTAAAGATTTATTTATTTGTGCATACAGAACTGGGGTACAGGCCAGAGGCTCAGGGGCAGTGAGAGGTTTCACCAGAGACAGAGTGGGGAACAGAACAGGCAGATCTATGAAGTACGCTGCTGAGGGGAACAGCGGGCGGGCCAGGAGAGGTCTGCCACACCATGTGGTCACCTCCGGGGCAGGCAGGAATCGAACTCATGCGGAGCGGCTTTAGATTCTCAGTGCTGTGCTTTAACCCACTGCGCCACCAGGGAGGGCCTATTTAAAAATTTAATACAGTCATTAGATCATCCTTCATTTTTGTACAATGTATGATTCCCTGTGAAATTCCCACCACCAATTCCCCTGTGCACCATCACCATAGTCCCTTGTGCTCTTCCCTACCCTGTCCTGGTTCTTTTCCCTCCTCCTCTCCTACAGAAAGTCTCTGGTCTAGAGTTGCCTGATGACTGATTTTTAAATAAGGAATTTTAAAAACACAACATACCAAAAAAAAAAAAAAACATAATCTCATCTATACCTCTGAAAACTCTGTAGGATAGATTCATGTGTCAACATACTCTTTTTGAAAAGGAAAAGATAAATGAAGAGCTGCTGATTCTTAAACAGTTGCTTTGGAAAATATAAAAGTCAGGCTCCTTCTGGCTCTTGGTCATTATGCTAATTACTTCATGCAATGAAAAATTTCTGTTTCACCCCTCTATCAAGTTCACTTTAATGCATTTTCTCTGGGTTGTGGCAGTCTGTTTAAACATATGTTTCTTGTATTTTACAGACATACTTGGCAAGTTCAAGACAAAATCAATGCAAACAATGTGGCTTACACAACTGGGAAGCTAAGCTTTCACACCGATTATCCAGCTCTCCATCATCCACCTGGGGTAAGGTGAGACTCAATGTATTTTCCACAAAGCAGGCCAAAGACCAATATCCTCTTAGAGATTTGAGTCTACGCTAGCCAATTTGTAGTGTATAGAACTCCATTCTCCAAACAGCAAAATCCTTAAACCTAAATCCTGACTTGCCTCACCCTCCCAAGGCACAGAAGAAATTATGTATATTCTTGTTGAACATTTCTTTATTTCTCCCTAGAAATATCTATGGGCACTTTTTACTTCACCAACTCATATTTCATTAGGGCAGTAGTGGATCTTTGCAATCCTTCTGTACATTTACATTCCAAAGAGAGTTGAGAGAATAAATGATAGCTTGATACACCATATGGGGTTTCTCCTATGATGTCACATGACCACTGTGCTTAGCTGTTGCTGCAGAAAAACTCACTCCATCACTTAACAGCTTAAAAGAACATCCATTTTCTTAGCTTGTGATTTTATAACTTGAACTGGATTTAGCTGCTTTACTGCTGCTGAGTCAGCTAAGGACTGGGTGACCTAGTGAGCTTTAGCTAAATTGATTTGTCTCTGCTCCACTTTCTCTGTGGTCCTCCGGCAGATAGAACAGCCATCTGCACGTTGCACTTGACAGAATTTCCAGAAAGCAAACCAAAACATACAAGACAAAGTCTCTTGAAGGGTAGCAATCAACCCAGTGTCACTTCTGCTGTGTTGTATTAATCAAAGCAAGTCACAAGTATAGCCCAGATTTCAAAGATAAAGAAGTAGATACCACCTTTTATAGAAGTTGCAAAGTCTCCAAAAAAAACAAATGACAAAGGGGTATGAATGCAAGGAGCATAAACCTTGACTAATTATGGAAATCATCTACTCTTTTATCTATCAGACTCCTTATCAAGAAGCAAGATGTTGGGCATGGAGCCAGAGTCTTCCAGAAGAATTCTGGGAGGCCCCTCTTCCGCTCTATTTTTATAAAGTTGTCATATTAAACCAGCTCCATTATTACTAAAACATCTTTCTTTTTCTAATCCAAGGAATACATGGTTAGGAAGTTGTCTGTCAAAAAATAGATTTTTTTTGTTTCTGTTTCTAGAATTAAATGGGGTTTAGTGAAATAACCATACAGAAATTATAATCTTCAAAGGTAAACAAAAGAGGAAATTTGTGGATGTATTCTCCAGTTAAAGAAAGAGAAATGGGCCAACGTCAAAATTAGTCTATACTTCCCATCTTGTAGACTGAGTATGCTTTCTTTGTGTCCTGTTGTTGCCCATAATTCTCTCCAGTATTAACTAAATGGCTAGTATTTGACTTCAGTATGTTTTAAGTTAGTTTGTTGATTGTACAACATCACATAATTTCTTTAAACTAAATGATGACAGTGAAATGACTTTCCTGATAACCTTTTAGTAGCCATTTTAGAATGGTGTATAGGAGAAGCATATGTGATTTGTTCAAAATGTGGTCCACAGATTCTCAGAAGTCAAACTAATCAGCCAATTCATATGCCAACGATAGGTTTGAGATGTTGAATTGAATAAAGTCTTAAAAATTTAACTAGAACACTAAAGACTCTAAATTTTTTTTAATTATTTTTTTTTATTTAATATTTTCTTTAATTATTGTGAGCTGAGGTTTTGATGTAGGTCTGAAATGTGAAAGCCACGGAAAAGTTATTAAAGGACTCCATAAATATTCCTAAAATATAGTATAACCTTGATATAACATTATATACTTTTTCAAAACATTTTTACCAATATGACTTTTCTTGATCCTTCTTAGCATTCCTTTAAGTTATACAAGATGACCATGTCTTTTATTTATATTAGACAAGAAAACAGTGTACAGTGAGGTTAAACACTTCCACAGAGTGAAAGCTGATGAATGGGGAACTTGAATTTGAACCCAGGCCTCTCCAACAGCTGTTATCACATCATACTCAAACTGGCCTTAAGCTGAACTTTCTAATGACCATAATTTATATAATGTAATGATTATAGACATTGCTGTCCATTACAAACTTTTTTTCAAATAAAGGGATTGAGTATTTATACTTCTCTATAGCTCAGGGCTTACTCTAGCACCTAATAAGTGATAGAGACTTCACAGATATGTTATAAAGAGTCCCCTCCCCCCCAAAAAAGCAAAAAGTTACACCTGTCTCCATCAGCAAATGAAACTTTTAAAGATAAATATATTTATAATGTATTTTAAAAATGAAAGTTGCTTCCTTAAATGTCTAGATTCCAGTAGGAGAATAATTAAAATGTAGGCAACTGTTCATGCTGTTGTTTCAATTTTCATTTTGAATTACTCAAAAGTTTTTGCAGCAAAGTTTAAACTTTGGAAATAACAAGTAGATAACAAAACATTTTTGGTAGGTGAAGTAATCTAGAAAACCTGTTGAAACTTTAGTGTTGTACATTTGGATCATGTAAACAGAAATAAGGGAATACTCCTTTAACAAACCACAAATGTTGCATTACTCATTGTCTTTTACCAAAGTCACATGGCACTGGAAAGCACCATTTATTTTTTTTCTTTTATTTTTTAATTTCTTACATTGTTGTTCATTTCCTACAGTATTTGATTTCTCCTCGTGGAGGTAGTCCCTGTGAACCATTACCATTGAGCCCTTCCCATTCCTATTTGCTCCCTTTTCTTCCCCTTCCCTTGTTTTACCCTCAGATTTATAGCTGCCTACAAGCTTTTTGCCCCTTTTGTGGCCCCTTTGTGTGGTTTCCCTCTATTCCTTCAATAAGTGATAACATCACATATTTTTCTTTTTCCTTCTAACATTTCACTGAGCATAATCCTTTCCAGCTCCATCCATGTTGCTGTGAATGGCGTAAGTTTATCTTTTAGATTGCTAAGTAGTATTCTGCTGTGTATATATATACTACATTGTTTTGATCTAGTCATCTGTTTTGGGGTATTTAGGTTGTTTCCATATCTTAGCTATTGTAAATAGTGCTGCAGTAAATATAGGTGTATTTTTGTGTCCTTTAGAAGATTCCTAGGAGTGGAATTGCTGAGTAATATGCTAGCTATATTTAATGATTTGTGGGTCCTCCATGCAGCTCTTAAAGCAACATTTAGGAACAAAATATTCTTGGTCCTAAATCACACAAGAAATAAAATTGGGTTCTATACACATGACACTTCTGGATTAGTAGAGAAAGTATTGTCAAGCTCCATCATCATTTTTCTTTCACAAGATTGCATTCAAATACAAATATTCAGAAGATTATTACTTGGCAATGACATATGAAAAAAAAAAGTTGACTTCTTATTACTAAGCCTCAGCTTTACACATTGGCCAATTTCTTTTTCACTTCTAGGTTTCTAGAAATAGGTATCCTATAAAATGGATATAAAAGTACCAAATTTGAAGCATTGTTGTAAAAACAAAATTGTATACATGACAAACATAACTTGAGACCAAATAGGTATAAGATTTAAAATATTGAAAAAATGTGTATGCTTTGGAAGGGAGACAGGATTTTTGTTTTAGATTTGTGCTAACCAATTACAGTAGTCACTAGTCACACCTATTTAAGTTTTGTATAAAATCATTAAGATTAACTAAAATTAAACTTCAATTCTTCAGTCACACCACATTTCCTATGCAGGGAATAAGAACATCATACAGCATAAAACATTGTCTTACACAACATAGAACATGTCACAATCACAGAAAGTTCTAGAGGATAGCACTGTCTACACCATCTGTACAGATAAGGAAGCTAAGTGAGTATTTTCCCCATCATGATGACATACATCTAATTTGGATATTATATTTCCCTTTCGTTTTCTGTATCCCTGTAAGAACTTGGTGTGTATTTTTATTTCAGTAAGAATGAAGTTTTCACATCTGAATAATATTAGTTTCTTTAAAGCAGAAAATCAAGACCTAAATTTAGGTATTTACAACTTACCCGTCTATGCTGATGTATCAAAAGGAGTCACATAAATTCCACTGAAAAGAAAAAAAATTAATTTTACTAAGTTTGAATTTTCAAAATGAATGTTAAATACTTTGTCCCTATGTCTCAGTAAGTGTCACTAAAATATACTATTATTTTGGTTCCTCATTTACAGGATTTCTTGGATTTACCCATCTTCATATCCCATCCTTACCTCGTAATTGCCTTCTTTTCTTACCTCAGTTATCCCATTAGACTCAAACAGTAACTCTTTATTCCTTAATAAGAACATTGCTCCTAAAACACCACTATACTAATATTCAACTCAGTCTTGACTCATGACTTCCATATTCAAATGCCCCCTCGATCTCCTATCCACAAGAGGAAGCCCAATATCCTTCATCTGACATTCAAGAATCTTCCAAATTACCTTTCTGGCTGTATCTGTGGCCACCTAATGCAATTTTTTTTTTAATAGCCAGAGATGCACTTGTTTTAATGCACTTTTTTTCTATAGGCATCATAATGTCTTCAAATTTGTTTTTCTATTCTATTCTGCATCTTTGAAATCTTATCCGTCCTCCTTTGTAAAGTCACCACCAAGTGAATATTGAAACACTGAAATGAAGTGCTCGCTCCCTGCAGCTATTTAGATCTATGTCTTTTTCTTCCTAAGGAACATCATGTCTGGGCCAGTGTTTTCAACTATAACAATGTTTGCACTATAAAGTATCGCTGCTTACAAACAACTTTTTCTCTCTAATCCCTTTCTCTGCTAACACAAAAGCAGATAAAAGAGGGCTCTTGATGTTAGTGCATTTAGCTTTCTGAAAGTTTCTTAAACACAGTGTCACAGTCTGTAAATGCATATCGTTTTAAAACCAATTTCTCCATTTCTTGTTTTAGGTTCAGCTTCTGCATTGCATAAAACAAACAGTCACAGGGGGAGATACAGAAATTGTAGATGGATTTAATATATGCCGAAAGCTCAAAGAAAAAAATCCACGGGCATTTCAGATTTTGTCCTCCACTTATGTGGACTTCACAGACATTGGAGTGGATTACTGCGATTTCTCTGTGCAATCTAAACACAAAATTATAGAGTGAGTACTATTTATATATATTCTCATAGCAGTAAAACAGTTAATAGTTAACTGTTAACACTCATTAACCTAAAACATAAACATCAGAAAGTTTTGATTAGCCCCAACTTTACTTTTTATTAGCTGTTTAACCCAATTTTAGAAAGGGGGAAAAAAAGAATCTTTCACCATAAATAATTTTTTAGAAAATTCCATAAAATCTCTGTTTTTAATCAATAGAAGAGTAGTGACTAAGACTTCAGATGTACTTTATTCTAAAAATACAAATCCTCAAGAAATAAAATTATTGAGTAAAAATAAGTGAACACTGTTTGAAAAGCTACAAAACGATGAAAACACTCCATGATTCTATTTAAATAAAGTGCCTGTGTTTTCCTCATGTACACAATGCATTCTTCTCCAAGAGAATTTATAATTATTTAGACAAATATTTTAAGTTTTCTAATATAAGTCAGTTTATTGCTTAAAAATAGAACTAACATAGTGACAAATATTCCAGGCAAGCAAAATAATAACTGGAAGTAAAACACATGAATATCTTCAGAATATGGTCAATCCAGAGCATGCTGTAAGCATTTATTTACTAGGCATATGCTGGTTTTTAGTACTTTAATGTTACCTCATTCAATCATGCCATTTCATTTTTCAGATTAAAAAATAATGCTTTAGTGGCTAAGTATTAGCTCAAGTTAACACACTGAAAATCCTCCATGTAGGAGTCTTCTACAAAAGATTTAGAGAGGCACCTGGAGCATAGTTATTCCTCTGTATTTACTACATAGTAGAATCATACAATATATTCTGCCTCCTTTACCATCAACCCTATCTCATGAGTGTGTTTTCCTATATCACTGAGAATTCATTCAAAATGACTGGAATGGCTGTGATGCTTTGCTGTAGAAAGTTCTATAGTTTATTGATAATGGTGAAGCTGTTTTCAATTTTCACTGATATTATTAAAATGAAAATAAACATTCTTGTAAAAATTAAAATAAAGTGCCAACTCATTATATATATATATATAAATTCTAATAGTTTGAATTATACTTTAAACTTGCAGCCAGAAGTGAAAGACTTTAACTCAAATTAGATAGATCTCATAGTTAAAAAATGATATCTACAATGTGACTTCTTTTTTTGCCTCTTACTTTTGCCATCCTTTGTGTTGACATCATTTTCAAAGACAATCAATAGAAGCTCCAAGTTTTCATTGTCTTTAGCGTTGGCTACAGAAAGCACTTATGTCTCAAAATTTACAACAAAACTATATGACTCGCTGCCTAATTTCTCCAGGTGTATCCCTGAAACAATCTCCATGCCGAAGAAAGTAAAAAAAAAAACTCTGATTAGCTTATTTCTGGATCATATATTTAGCTCTCAGGCAAAATCAGGCTCATCTGATCTATATGGGCTGAGAGTAAAACAGGGAGGTCTCCTCAAATTGATGCCAACAAATATCTTATTTGGCCTCCATAAGACATATTATTTTCTTTTTTCATTTAAAGTTATTTCATTGTAGTTTTTCAAGTACCTACAGAAAGCCACAATTGTGTCCTTTGACTTGAGAAATAGCTGACATTGTGTTTTCACAACGTTGTTCATTTAGTCAGATCCCAGATGATGAGTATTTGGGTGCTGCCAACTATAGACTTGAATTTGTGTTCTTCTTTTAAGAGAGAGTCAAATAATATGAAAATAATTTATGTAATAAGGGATCAAATCCCAGAAACTCCGCTTTTTTATATGCACATCTGATCTTCTTGATTCATTCAACAAATATTTATTGAAGCTCCAGCCACTCTTCTTGTGCCTGGGTTATATCAGTGGGCCAAATATTTTTACCTTCATGTAGTTAACAGACTAACAGGGGAAGGAAGAATTCAAAATTGTACAAAAATGAGTCAAATTATAATGAACATTAAAACATTTGAATGTTGGGCCCTCCCTGGTGGCACAGCAGGTTAAAGCACAGCACTAAGAAGCTAAAGCCACTTCTGCATGAGTACGATCCCTGCCTGCCCCAGAGGTGACCACATGGCGTGGCAGACCTCTCCTGACCTGCCTGCTGCTCCCCTCAGGAGTGCACTTCATCAGTCGGCCTGTTCTGCTCCCCACTCTGTCTCTGGTGAATCCTCTCACCACCCTTGTATCTCTGGCCTGTACCACATTTCTGTATGAATAAATAAATAAAATCTTAAAAAAATTTTTTTTTTAATGTTAAAACATTGAATGTAATGAATGTTAAAACATTAAGTGCTAGGGCCCTCCCTGGTGGCACATGGGGTTAAAGCATAATACTATGAAGCTATCTGCAGCCACTGCAGCATGAGTCGGACCCCTCGCCAGGGAGGTGACCCATATGAAGCAGCAGACCGCTCCTGTCTCACCCACTGCTCCCCTCAGCAGTGCAATCTGCCTGTTCTGCTCCCCACTCTGTCTCTGGTGAATCCTCTCACCCCTATACTTTTGGCCTGTAACCCAGTTCTTGAATGAATAAATAAATAAAATTCTTAAAAAAAAAAAAACATTTAAATGCTTTTAAAATGTCAGGAAAGTTAGGGCAGGATGAGTGGAATCCACAAGCCCAAAGACCTGAGGGTGTTGAAACTTGCATCATGACATAGTATTGTGTGTAAATAGCTTTACTGAACTAAGTGATAATTTGAACAAAAATCTAAAAGAGTGTGGAAACTTGAGAAGCAGTTTCCAGAATCAACTGGAGCAAAGGCTCAAAGAAGGCCCTAAGAACATGTCTGATATGTTCAAGGAACAGCAGGGAGCCAGAATGGAGAAGAGGGAGCGATCTGGGTAGTAAGAGAGAATGTAAAGAGAGGCTAACTCGTTTAGAACACTGGGTGCCACTGTAGGAACAAGGACTTTCTCTCCTAGTGAAAGAGGGAGCTGATGCAAGACTCATAACAAGAGACATATTTATATCCATTTGTTTACATTTTAACTGGATGGCCAACTGCTGTGCTGAATCACAGACTGAAGAGCAGGAGCAGCAAGACTGGTTTGGAACTTCTGCATGATTGCAGACTAGCAGAGAGGGTGCCTTGAACAGGAGCAGCCCAAGCCTCTTTTAGGTTAACATGATGGAAATGTACCTCATCTCACTCTCTCCGTTCTGGTCACTAGTCTTGAAAGGCCGCAATAAGATCTTTGCACAACAAAACTGCAATTTGTCATGGGCTTTTAAATTAGCTGTGTTTTAAGTGTTCCTTCCTTTTTTTTTTTTTTTTTTGATTTATTTATTTGTGCATGCAGAACTGGGGTACAGGCCAGAGGCTCAGGGGCCATGAGAGGATCCACCAGAGGCAGAGTGGAGACAGAACAGGCAGATTGACAAAGTACACTGCTGAGGGGAGAAGTAGGCAAGACAAGGAGAGGTCTGCTGTATCATGTGGGTCACCTCCAGGGCTGGGGATCGAACTCGCAGTGAAGCAGTTGCGGCCAGCTTGCAGTTCTGTGATTTAATCCACTGCGCCACCAAAGAGGCCCTGTCCCTTCCTGTCATTCGTTGTTGCTTATGGAGTTTCCCTCTTACATATTCAACTTTGCATTAGGCAAATGTTTAAGGTACTAACCACTCTTTGCAAATGTTCCAAATTATGTCTCCTAGGAACCTCATAACTAAATGTGCTTACTACTTGACCTCATGTCAGTGCTCATTCAATGTTAAATACTAAACCCGTTTCTTGTTTTCTCACATAGGAAGTAAACACCAGATGAAAGGAGGCAGAAATTATTACACACACAGAAGAGAATTGACTATTTTTGTCTACATATGTGAACTCCTAGAAATAAAAGCTTAACATTCTGTACACACAATTCTGATTTCATTAGATTAGTGAATCTCAAGTTCCTTTCACTGTTATGTGACCTTACACACATGGACTCAAGAAGAAATAACTCATAACTAGCATAAACATTCACATCAAGGAGTAATGATGAAAAAACAAACAAACGTATCACCAGTGCGGCTAGATTAGTTTCAAAGTCAAGACATCCTTATCAGTTACATGGAAAATGGTACAAAGGGAGCCATTGTTATGTGTATTGAAAATAATACAGGGAGAAAGGTGAGAAAGTAAGTCAGCAGCAGTAGGCCTAGATTTGTGAAGATAAGATTAAAAGAAAATTGGCCTCAGAAACTGTGAAAGAAATCTGAAGCCAGATTTGGAGAGTTGAAAAGTCAAGTCCTATCCTGTGTACCACTAAAGTCTGGAAGTCCACAGTCTCTTCCCCTGGCTGATCAGTTCTTGTTCCTAAAGCTACAACCTGCAGATCAGAGTATACTTTACCTATGTGGAGAACAGAAGATGGAGAGGACACTCCAATACCTATTCAGTGAAATCTATGTTTTTATCAATGTATGCAAATTCTGGTTTTATGAATCAAAGAGCACATTTGGAAAAATCTGTTCCTTTTCTCCCTTTTCTTCCCACTGTGGACTTAGTAGGCAATTTTGGTTTGGTCTCTCTCGTGAAGCAAAAAACTGTTGCTCATTACCACTTCCTAGAGTTACCGTGAAGACTGCTAGTTAGATGACTCCACATTAATCCAGTCAGATGCCACCAGTCCAACCCACAAAGTAGAGGGACCCAGGCAGCCATATGTATATGCCACAGACTATCTCACTTTTTCTCCTGTAACCTGTCTTGTTGATAATGGTTCATGCTGTGACACTAGCTAGCTAAATGCCATGTAGCCCTCAAATCCACGTCAGCAAGTCCTGAAACATGGTTATCTGCTTTGACTCATCAGGCCTGGGTCCCAGTCAGCTGCTGGATCACATGACCACCATGTGGCTGAGCTACAGTCATCCTGGGTACTTTGCCACCATCCTCGCCCACATTCTGTTTTATGCATCCCTCTTGTTTCTACCTAAAGAAAGGATAAAGTTGGCTGATGATTTAGGACTGACTACAGGGTTGCCTTCCCGATAAACTAATTTTTTTTTCCTCTTCCTTCACCTGTATGTCCAACTGATGCTCATGACTTGGTATTTATATCCAAAGGAGTTTAAATTCAGAAATTAGATTACTATTTCTTACCTTAAATGCAGTTTGTGCTACATTTTCATGATTGCAATCCATATTCTTAAGATCCCCTGAGATATTAAAAATATCTTGAAGCTCCCCAAAGGTAATCAAAAATTATATAGGAAGTTGAGAATGACATGAATATTTCACTGCCTGTTAGGTTTAGGTGCTATGTTAGTGCTGAGCATCCAACATTAAATAACTGTAGTCTTATACATTAAGATAGAACATGCCTTTACTTTCTCTGTGCCTTGGTTTCCCATTTATAAACTATGGATTGAATTAGAATCATGAGTTTAGGCATTTAAAGAAATATTTCTTTCCAAGCTTGCTCCCCATAATTGATAATTAGAAATCATACTTGATGGACCTATGAAATTGTAACACAAAAATATTTTAATATGTAAAAGCTGCTACTCTAGGGAATAAATCATTGCCCACACATAAAAACTTTTTTATTTATTTATCTGTCTTTTTAAATTTTATAATAGTTTACTTTTATATATTTTTGTGCATTTTTCCATCTCAGTTGCAATCCCCTTGGGATGCCCATCACCAAATCACCCATGTGCCATCACCATAGTCCAGTGCATTTCCCTCCCCCCACTGTTTTTGATCCCATTCCCCACTCCATCCCCATAAAATGTCTATGGTATATAGCTGCTCATCATTATCATTATTTTCTCGCCTGTTCCATTATATTCCTGCTATGAGAGAAACCATCCAGTATTTTTCCTTTTCTTTCTGGCTTATTTCACTAAGCATGATCTTTTGCATGTTGCTGCAAAAGACATGTGTTTCTTTTTTTCAGTTGCTGAGTAATATTCCATTGTGTATATGTACTACATCTTTTTAATCTAGTCATCCATTTTTGAGCATTTGGGCTGTTTCCATGTCTTTCCAACTGTCAATAAAGCAGCAATAAACATGGGGATGTAGGTATCTTTTTGAATCAGTGTTTTTGTGTCTTTTGGAGAGGTATCTAGGAGTGGGTTTGCTGGGTCATAGGGAAGCTCCATGTTTAGCAGCTTGAGGAACCTCTAAATAGTTTTCCATAGTGGTTGTACTAGTTTACATTCCCACCAGCAGTGCAGGAGAGTTCGTTTTTCTCCACATCCTCGCCAACATTTGTTGTTGCTAGTTGTTTGAAGATGTGCCATTCTCACTGGGGTGAGGTGGTATCTCATTGTGGTTTTAATTTGCATCTCCCTTATTACGAGTGATGTTGAACATTTTTTTCATATGCTTCTTGGCCATCTGCATTTCTTCTTTGGAGAAGTGTCTTTTTAGCTCTTCTGCTCATTTTTGGATGGGGTTGTTTATTTTTGTTGAGTTTCATCAGTTCTCAATAAATTTTTGTGATCAATCCTTTATCTCTAGTTTTGTGTGAGAATATTTTTTTCCCAATCAGTGGGATGTCTGCCAAAACATAAAAACTTTTTAAAAACTTTTTAACTGAACTCTCTTATTAACATTTATTTTTAAATTAGCATGAATTAATAAATTTCAAAAATGTATATATCATAATCTTATGATCTTATGATCATGGATACATGTCTTTGGATTCTTTAATACTGTATTTCAGAAACATCATCTAAGGGAAAGTAACTTAAAATAATATTTTATGATATATATTTATGCTTTTTCTCTTTAAAAAATAGATTAGATGATAAAGGCCAAGTGGTTCGCATCAACTTCAATAATGCAACCAGAGACACAGTATTCGACGTACCTGTTGAAAGGGTCCAGCCTTTTTATGCCGCGCTGAAGGAGTTTGTTGACCTGATGAACTATAAAGAATTCAACTTTACTTTCAAGATGAATCCAGGTCAGTGAGTACATTTTTCAAAACAGTGTATGGATGGAATTTCTTCAACCTTGGCCATTTAAAGTGATACCTAAATCAGTTTTTCTCATGCAAGGCAAGTGGAATACTTACAACAGAATTTTGCTGGGCAAAGAACTTGCTTAAATAGCAGGCTTCTTACTCTGCCCCTGCACTTTTTGATTCTCAGACTTTAAAAAAAAATTCATTCTTAATAAGTTCCTAGGTAGGGCCCTCCTTGGTGGCACAGTGGGCTAAGACACAGCACTGGAAGCTAGCGCAGCCGCTTCAGTGCAAGTTCGATCCCCAGCCATGGAGCTGACCCACATGGTGCGGCCACGTCTCCTGACCTGCCCGCTGCTCCCCTCAGCAGTGTACTTGCTCTGCTCCCTACTCTGTCTCTGCTCCCTACTCTGTCTCCCTACTCTTCTCATTGCTCCTGCACCTCTGGCCTGTACCCCAGTTCTATATGCATAAATAAATAAATCTTAAAAAAAGTTCCTAAGTAATCCTAAGCTACAACATATTTAGTAACCTCCAACCTACAGGATAAACATTTGAAAGACAAGGTACAGGTCAGATGAAATTTCATGTTTGAAATCAACACGGATGACTTACATTTTCTCTCCTGACAGCCAGTCACTATCAATTTAGGCTTGTGCTTCATTCTTCTGTCTTGATAAACAAAACCTCCATGATTCTCACTCCAGAGCGCATGAGTCAGGCTTTCTCATTAAACTTATCTGATCTGGCAGAGAGAGTGTGACCTAAAATGAAGTAGACTCCATGTACTGAAATAAAAAATGTGCTTTTTCTGGACCATCTCTACTCAGCATAACACCAGACTAGGAGCTTCTAAAATAATGAGTAAAAAGAATCTCTCTTTGCTATCTTCTTGGCCAAGTGGAAGAATATTTTCACTTGTATTCGTTTTTTAATTAACCTTTAGCATAATAAGGTAACATTAGAATTCACTCTAAACCCATTGTTATGCAGTCACAAAAGGTTAATTTTAAGAATAGTAACATGGAAAATGACAATACCATAGGAGAAAAATACTTAAAAATAATGAATTGGAATCCAAATCCACCACTTAACAGCAGTGATGCTGCAGTCAAGTCCTCCACTCTCTTGGCTTCTCGTTTTTCTCATCATGAGAATATGAGGTAATCCTCTCTTTTCAGGATTTTTATGAAGCTTAGAAATAATGGTCATAAACTACTAGACACATAGAAGGCAAACCAAAAACATCACTATACTGAAAATTTTTTGATATTATTAAACTGGAAACACTTCTAATTCAGAGATAACTAACAAAAAGAAAAACTCAAAAGTTTTATATGGAGATAATTTTTTTTAAGTCAGAGTTATGAAAATATCAACAGGAACCTCTTAGGCTATGTATTTTAAATAACAAAAGGTTTAAAGCTGTTTCCAGTGTTGTGTTTTGGGTAAAGAAAAGTAAAAGAACGCTTATGTAAAAGGAAGAAACCATATAACAATACTTTGCATTTCACATTCTGTAATTCTGAGTTATTTAAACATGTGATTATTCATATTGAAAAAAATGTTTTGTTCAGGTGATGTGATTACTTTTGATAACTGGCGTTTACTTCATGGCCGACGTAGCTATGAAGCAGGAACTGAAATAACCCGCCACCTAGAAGGAGCTTACGCTGATTGGGATGTGGTGATGTCAAGGCTTCGGATATTAAGGCAGAGTATAGAGAATAGAAACTAAATCTTCTATCTATACTTTCATGAAGATTCCAATGAATGTATTTTGTAAGACATGGCAAAGGTTTTTTTCTTCTCAGTCCATCATTCATGTCATTTACATATTAATTTCTTTAACATTGCTCTTTAACCTGCTGCAATTTCTTTGTAATCAAATATAGTGCCAACACTTAGCATAGCAGCGTTCTCTTTTCCAAATAAAGCATTCCTTCTGGTCTATTGCATATATGATCTCATTCCTTTTACCCATGAGTTTCCAGAATGCCTACAAATAGTTTTTTATTGAATAAAATCTGTCTTCATATAAAACCTTTTTAAATAAAACTTTTGTTTCAAATAAAACTTGCATTTCAAATAAAACATGTCTCAAATAAAATGTTTCTACTCTGTTGTCTTTAAGGTCTCATATTTCATGACTCCATGTCATATAATGCTTGGTAAAAGTCTGTAGATTGTCTAAGTTCTGTGTTATTTACTTTCATTACACAATTCTATTAGCTAAATTTCTAGGCCTCACCAAATTGTGATCTCAGCCTTTCCTTTGATACCTAACTTCTCAAAACAAACTCAGGTAAGTCAAATTAAGAAAAATTCTAGTCCATGTAATTTGCTCATGCTCCAAGTACTTCCAAAGCCAGAATAACTTACACTCAGTCCAGTCAGGTCTCCTCATTTCTTGCCTTCAACCAATAACTAGGAATATAGAACCAAGATACGTGCTACATTGACAAGTGGACAGATCATCTGTTCAATAGCATCACCTGCAGAATTTGGTGCTTTCTGTGGCACCTGCTCTGTCCTAGGCAGGGATACAGACTTGTCATTTCGAGTATGGAAGTCCCATTCCTACTGAGCCCAGACCCCTCCCTACTCCCGATGAAAAGGGGAATCTATACATTACCAATTACTAAAATCCTGGTACTCTATATAGAGTTTTCAGTTCATCCATGTTGGGAGTTTATTTTGAAGGTCTTAGTCACCATTACCATTGCAGAGTTAATCTACTGCCTAAGACCAAGTGAAAACACCACTCCCACTCATGTTAATTTCTGCTTCACACACACAATGTGCCTACAGTCTGGTGGTCTGGATCAGTCTCCTTGGCCCATACCAGCATACTCCTCTGATTCTCTGAATGCTGGTGTTGGGTACACATTGTCAATCCAGACTCTCCCCTTCCCTCAGGATACTGAAGCCCCTGTGGGGGGCTTCATTGTCCAGTTTTGTCATCTACTTGGTCTTGATCAGGGCTACTGTAGCATATGACACATGTTTTATTCCTTTGAACTTCAAAAGAAACAACTTCCTTCTAAAAGATTCCTAGGATGATACAGGTGATTTCCATAGGGCTATCCTATAGTTCTAAGAAGCAACATTCAATACTTAAGAACAGTTCTCTGGAGTAAAGCTAATCCCACCATTCACAGGGTTTATTCACTCAGCAGATATTCCTCCTCTATCTGGCGTTCTGCTAGACTAGGGGTAAATTAGGACTTGAATTGTGCCTGCTTAGTTTGGGAAAGGAGCAGCTTAAGGATATAGATGATGCTCTGTTACATTAACAGGAAGGCAGTCAAGCTGGGATGCGCCTTTCAACCATTCCTGAATGAGGGCTAATGGTCATTTTCCAAGCAAAGATGGGAAAATGACGCTCCATGTCAAAGGGGAGAAGCAGCACAGAACTAAGGATGAACAAAGCATGTGCTGATTTACAAGTGAGAGGAGAACAGTAAGGGAGCAGTGTGAGTTCCGGGATTTGAGGCTGAGGTTCAAATCCTAATAATGACAGTTATCTATGTGTCTTTCGACAAATAGTTCCTCACTGAGTATAAGTACTCTGGAGATGTTAACTGTCATTTGTTGTAATAACAAGGTTGGATGGGCAAAGAGTGGATTAAGGTGAGAAGAGATATATGAAGCTATATGGACAGAAATGAAGTCAAGTCATGAAATGTTGAAATGTATGTGACATTAAAAGTTGCTATTTTATCTTGAAAGCAATAAAAAGGCCATTTAAGAGTTTTTAAGCAATAAAGTGCCTAGATCAGATATTCATTTTTTTTAAAGATTCATCTGGCTACAATATGGAAGGAATTGTAAATGAGAAGAATAAAGCCCATAAATCTGTTTGTGAGGCTATAAATCTACTTACTGCAGAAACCAGATGAGAAAGTAAAAAAAGGAAAAAAATGAATTAGGATTCTAGAAGAGAGTATGGAGAGATACTTTGAAGGCTAATTCTAAAGGAGTTGATGGCCCAATGCTTGTGTATATAAGGGAATGCTTGTTATAAGGGAAATAACTACAATATCTCCTGAATTTCTAGATAGGAAAAATAGGATTCCTCACTCAACAAAAGAGGGATACCACAATGACAGAAGTATGCTTGTGGGCAAGAAAATGACCCAGTTTTGAACCGATGAAAATTTAATTTCTCCTGAGTTAACTTTTTGGCAGTTGGGTAGAGATGTAGATATACATATATCAGGACAGAGACATAGATTATTTATCATCCTTTGAAAAGCAGATAGATGATGGATGAAATCACTTGTTTTCTGGAGACATTTAGTGATTGTGACTAAGGTCACACGCCTCATGGTATGATGATAAGCTAATGATGTTGGCCTGCTTTGTGGAAGCAGTTATAGTCAGAACATAATCAGTGGTGACTTATGTTCAAAATCAGCTATAACCTCTTACATATCATTTTTTGCTTCTAGAAGACAGAGTTCTAAGTCAGCACCACATGGCCCAGATGTTTCCTTCTCTTTTGAAAAAAAATTTCTGCCTTGGAAAAGAGGGACAGAGGATTGGATGCTATTGCAACAGTTTCTGAAGTGTTACATAGGACATGACATATATTATGGGCTGTAGCAGCTAGTGCTGACTGAGGCGATTAAGTTTCCTGGACATAGTAAAGATTTGACTTTCCCCCAAACTCATAATAGATCTGATGTGACTTGGATTAGAATTTACCCCTAACTGGCAGTTTGGATTCTTACTGTCTGTTCTATTTCTCTGCTTTGACTTGGAGACTATTAACTGCTTGACCAGCTGATTGGAATAACTCCAGAGGTCACCAGAATGACAGGCCTGAGGGTGTCTTTGTTGGTCTGTATTCTCCCCCTAGCCAACCACTGCAAGGTGAATGAATGAATATGAGAAAAGAGAATTTACGCAAAATAAAGAATTCTAAAGCAAAACTAAGTATTCCTAGGATAATTTCTCCTTTCAGGAATTTAAAGTAGGAAAACAAGAAATTTTATAAATTAAAGTACCCCTTTATGCCAAATTTCATTTTGAATATACATTTCAGCTGAAAGTTCTTATAACCAAAATGTGATTTGGTTGGACTTAATGGCTTGCAGCCTCCCTCTGGGTCTCTGCACATATTTTCCGAACTATTTGGAATACTCTTCCCTAACACTTCTTATGCCTGGAAAACTCCTCCTCCTCCTCCTGCAATGTTTAGCTGAAGTTTCATCCCCACCACTGAGAACCTGACCACAAAGTATGGAAGATTATATCTCCTTATCAGAGAGTTGAGAACTGCTGTAATAAATCAAAGAGATAGATGAAAATAATAGAGGGAAATTTCCCATATCACGAGAAGGAATTAATTGTGCAAGTACATGAAGTTAAAAGAAAATCTAAATACAAAATGCAGAAGACCTACACCAAGACACATACTCCTAAAACCAGCAAGAAGACAAAGAATCTTAAAGACAGGGGAAATGGTAGGTTACTTATAAGTGTATTCCCACCAAGAATACTTATCCTTCTCATAAATCCCCAAAAATGACAGAATACTTTTGAACACATTTTATGAGGCCAACATTAATCTGATACCAATACTAGCTGAACACACCACCAAAACAACAACTAAAGAATAATTTCTTGAACATATTTTTGTGTGTGTGCAGAAATTCTCAACAAAATCTTGTCAAACCAAATTTAATCAGTAGTAAAAAGAATCTTTTACTATGACTAAGAGGAATTTATTTCAGTAGAACAAGGATAGTTCAATACCCAAAAATTAGAAATCAGTCAACATAATTCACCACGAGTAAAATGAAAGATAAAAATCAATATTGTCATATCAATAGATGCCAAAAAAGACATTTGGCAAAACTCAACATCCATTTAAGGTGGAGACGCTAAAAAAAAATGGGGATAGGTCACATATGACAAATGCACAACTAAAATCATTCTCCATGGTGAAAAACTGAAAGTTTTCCACTAACATATGTCAAGACAAGGGTGCCCACCCTTATCACAGCCATTCAAGTCACAGCTGGAGTAATTAGACAAGAGTAAGATATAAAAGGTATCTAAATTTGGAAAGCAGTTTGTCATGACACTTGCAGATTTCATGATAAAACACATAGAAAAGTATCAGCCCAAGCATACAAATTTCCATTTAGAACATGAATAAATTCTGGGGGTCTCAAGCAAGGCATTGTGATTATAGATAACACTGTACTACATGCTTGTAAATTCCTAAGAGACGAGATCTTATTTGTTTCACCATGAAAAGAAATGCAATGGTGTGACACAGTAGAGGTATTAGTTAATCTACAATAGTAGTGACGTTGCGGCATGTAAGTATGGCAAATCAACACACACACCTTAAACTAGCAGCAGGAATAGAATGCAAACACAAGTCTTGGTTTCCAGCTCAGTTCTCTTCTTGCTTTTCCTATTTCCATTTCATGTGGAATTCAATTGACTCCTTGCTGCTTCCCAATGTCTCACCAATGGCTTTACATTTTCTGAAAAGTAACCTCAGAGCTGATTCAGACAGATAAGTGAAAAGTCACAGAGCTCATTGGAGAGTCTAATAAACATAAGAATTGAAATCAGAGCAAAAATTCTCAAATTAGGGAGTGTGTAAGATTCACCTGAAAATACGTTTTAAATGCTGACTCCAGTAGTTGTCCATTTGGAATCCATAGGTCTGGGTCTAGGAATCTTGCTATGGACAAGCCTCCCAGAGACTGGCTGCAGGTAGTCCCTGGACCACTCTTAAACAGTGTTCTGCTCACAGCCCAA